TTTACTGTACTGTATACTGCAGTCTGCCGCTCCTCGCTGTGGTTCTTGTGGTCCCTATGTCTTTGGGATTAGGAGCAGGGCATTTTCTCTAGAGTTCTGTAACAGTCCCAGGGGTGGCTCAGTGAGGCGTTTTCTGACGGATTAGTGAGTCGTGCAGGGGAAGCCAATTCAAGCTGGCAATCCCTGACACCTCCACTGCGGCCCTCTATTTATATCACACTAGGTTTTAGATGGTTTATACAAATGACATTTGTGAACCTTTGTTGACAAGGTTTTGAAGGGTCTAGACTAGTGCACATGGTAATTAAATAGAGACCATAATTATTTTGTGTTGAAAATGTCATCTTTGTCATTTCACTATAACAATGTATGTTTAGTCTCAAGCATCAAGCTATGTCATTATTTTTTGAATCATTTTTTTATTTGACACAATCACATGGGCTTTGTTGCACATATTTTAACAAAATAACATACAAGCATACACAGGTCCAGGACATAAAATCACACTCTGGACAAACAACTAAAAGATGAACAAGCATATTATAGACAAAATCATTTAAGTCTATCCAAACACAGCTACTCCAGATTTGTTTGTATATATGGGCAGCAACACCAATCATCAGCAAATTATGAAAACTAAAAAGTATTAAAAAATTTAAAAATAGGTAAAGTTTTGTTAACTGGGAAGTGACAATCTGCAAATGATAATACATTTTTTGAAAAGCAAAATATTCAGCCTTCTTGTCCGTTTTTGTGCCAAGTGTTTTTTGAAAGCAATGTTCCTGTGATCTTGTGTTCAGAAGAGTGTAAATAATTGTAATATTGAAGCCCTGAAGAAGACCTTTTGTCCAATCGCATCCATGTAGAATTTTTACTTTAAAGTATTGAGCGCTTTGGACCATTATGACTGTACAGATCTGTGTTTTTCAACCTGCAAGTCATGTCATCTATTTTCCAACGTAATACAATTTTACCCTCTTTTAACGGACAGCAAAGGCCAACCTACGTTTTCATAAAGTTACAGTGATGAAAAGTCGTGTGAAAAAAGACAGAATGAAAAAGCGTATCTAGCAGCTTTAGCGCAGAAGTAGAATTTCATATAAATACAAGACACACATAATACACACTATGCAAGTCCACAAGAATAAACTGTGAGCAAGAATGAAATGAAGGCCCTTTTATAACTCTGCCATGACATTCTTTGGTCTGACACGTGTTGTACATCACACTGACCTTTCTCTAACTGCCTCTGCTGTCACATCGTTGTGTTCCGAGCATTTGTATTGGTCACTGTTTCTCTGCAGTATCCTCCTGTGACTTCCTCTCTCCCATGGACCCCCAGCCTCAGAGCCGCTATTGTCCTTCAAAGCTCTCCCCCTTTTTTCTACTCTAATCAAATCGTCTCCATGAGGAAATGCCAGCAAATTATAGCTTCTATTCATATCTGATGGCCCCTGGACCCTTGGCTCTGTTTCAGGGCCTTGGACAGTACACTGTGGGTTAAATAGACAGAGGAAGAACGCGTCACAAGATTACACTTCCTTGGACGTGACTTAAAGCCGGAGCATCAAACTTTCCAATCACAAAAAATTGAACTACTTAATTTGATAAAACCACTCCGCCCATGTCACCAAATAGTGCCTCACAAGTATGCAAAAGATAGCATGTTTTCTAATAAAGGAAGACGGCGTTCGGAAAAGTATTACAATATATATATGGAACGAAAACATTTGGTAAATCAGCTTTAACTTGAACAAGGGTATCTATGAATGTAAATGGTTTTGAATAGATTACACTTTAATACCTCATATATTTGTGTTGAAAATTTTGGTTTTAAGGGCCCTGACTAAATAATATCTAGCATGTAATATGAATTCATTTTTTGTGGCACTAATCATTTTTTTACCGCTGTGTCTCTACCAATCAAACATAATTCAATCTCCCAAGCCATGCACATCCCCCATGACCATCTCCCTATATCAGCCACATTTGAACTCTGCAGTGGATTACAACACGTCGCTCCTATTTAATCCTTTGGCCTCATGCGCACCGTCACCATAATCTCGCTCCTTCAGTGCGGCGTACGACCTGCTAATTAGTGGCCGGAGGAGGCCCTTGTTTGTCGGATGTCTTCCTGTTGCTGCTCAGACACAAGTGGCTCTGTGTGCTATCTCTGTGCTGACACTGAGGGAGGGAACAGGCAATGAATGAAGACCCGCTTTGTGTTTGTTTGTTGGACTGCCAGTTCACGTTGTGACGCGCTTCTCTCGAACTTTGCGTTTTCTTCTTCTAAAGCTGGAAACTGGGAAATAGCAGGTACTTAATTATGTTGGCTCATATTTGTTTTAACTTGTTACTTGCTTGTGGAGGCTAGAGGAGTTGAAGAGGATGAGGCAATAGTTTGTCGCGGAGTTGCAGGACGTTGATGGAATGCTTTGATTTTATTCCTTTGATATGGAAATACCAGTTACATTGGACACATTTAAATTCCACAAAGATGACATTTACAAATCATTAGTCATGTGTATAAGTTTGCACTGCTTTCAACCCCAGTTTGAGATGTCTGGGGAAGAAGTCAGTTGTTCTTCTTGTTTCCTTCTATATATAGTTACACATAGCTGGAAAAAAGTTCTGTAAATGTGTCTGTGCTTTTGTAACCTAAATGAAAGATTTAATTTTTTGTCCTTAAATCTGACCTATTTATTATTTCTCCACTCATCCGGCTTGTGCTAACATATGTCTCTATTGACTTATATACTGTATGTGTCTTCTCATTATATATACATGTGAGGAAGTCCCTGGTCCAAGCCCACTTCCTGAGCTTCCTATGCACCCTCCCGTCCCCGTTTCCCCCTTCCTGCTCTGCTTCTCTGTCTCATGCCTGTCTCTGTGGGAGTTACTTGCGCTGATACACTCTCAAAAAGTAAGTGTTGAGGCGAATCGCAGCCGGCTTTGATCTACCTGTGTTTTCTCGTCTACCTTCTAAATTCTAACTGTGGCCTTTCTGCATGTAACCTGCTGAAACTGCGGCACTGCACTTTCACTAGGAAATATTTACTGCATCAGGGTAGAAATGAATGAATGTGCAGATTAGATTATAAAACCAATCCACTTGTTGTAATTGGATTTGAACACGTTCACAGCTGGAATCTTATCAGAGTTATTCAAGGTGAGAAAGCGCATTATTGTTTTAAAAGATCACCAGTCTCCTAAATATTTTGGTTGGTAAATCTTGGTAGATCTGGTCAACCTAAATGATCAATCCACTACAGAATATTACGCTTTGCTTTGTTTACTCAATATATTTACTGCTGTATTTCTACTTACAATGTGAAACTAATATACAACAGACTGATTACATGCGAGACAAGTGAGATATATAAAAACCTGTATTTGTCATAATGTTGATAATTGTGGCTTGCAGCTTGTAAAAACCCCTCATTAAACAAAAAAATGTTGTTTTGAAATTGGACCTTAAGCCATGATCATCAAATGTATAACATACAAAGGCTTAGCCTATGTCACTTTGCATATAATGAGTCTATTACCATACATTGGTTTACAGAACTAAATGAACTTTTGAACAATTTCCTAAAAGAGTTTTACCTGTATATTTTGGTCATCTCATTTTTCTTTGATATATGACTTTGTAGATAAACTGAACAATTCACTCGTTTTCTCATGAGGGCTTTAAGAGTGAAACCTCCGACTTAACGCATGTCACATCACATCAGTGTCCGCTGAGGGCAGGGCCCCCTGCTGAGTGAAGTCTGGCTGAAGGAACATTAGCTGGTAATGGCCGTCTAATTGAGTGTTGATGGAGATCAAAATAGAGCCAGAAAGTGAAGGGGTTTAAGTTTCTATTTCTTTTTAACGTTGCTGTGTGAAAAGTGCCTTGGTCTGAGTCCGAGAATCATCAATGCTGTGATTGCTCCAATAGCTCCATGATTAATTCATTCTGAGTGTGTTCAGCCTGTGATAGATGGTCTGCTGCAGTCTGGGTAATGTAGTGGCAGATAGTGGCAGAAAGACTAATGGCAGCTTAATGTGCAGAGGTTATAAAGAGGATGGAAGGGACTTGGGGACGAAACTGTTGCGAATGACTTTATCTCTATGTAGACATGCAGTACAACATGATAAGAATGAGAACAGGACAATAGGTGCTCAGGAATGTATCGCCACGTGTAACCTTTTACCAAGTTATATTATTCTTCCACTCTTCCCCAGTGCACAGAACTCTGTAAAAACAACAACACTAATGATGATTATTTTTGGGGGTAACAGTGTCTATTCTGAATGTCTTTAAGTTAATATAGTCCTGTATTTTTAATGTTGTTTAATCACAAGCCAAAGCATTGTAGTACCATGAATGTATTATTCCAGCTAGACTTTGAACGACAAAATATATTCCCTGAAGCTATTGATGCTGTACCAACGCTGCAAATTCTCTATTATTTGTTAGTGTAGAACAATATGTTTCAGTTTCCAACAAATACAATACAAATGTGCTTTGAATAATGCCTTTGAGCCAAATGCATTGCAAACTACCATTTATTGCTCCAGCGATGCAGTTTGGGATAAGGCATCAAGCTATGTTTTCTTCTCACACAACATATGACTTACAACATACTTCAATATGTATTTTTTATTTCATTCTATACACATTGATGTATACTTATATTTACATAACCTTCCATAAAAAATTACAACCTTTTTTTATTTTTATAAATGTTAAATTAAATCATTGGAAAATATTATACAAAAGTTGAAGGAGCATTTATGAATAATCGCTGTGGTATAAAAAAAAGTGTTTTTTTAGTATCAAAATTGAGTTTGAAATGTATTAACATGACGACACTCGCTCCCCCAAACAGTGATAGATATAAGGATTCAAAACATGTGGAAAATGACTGGTGTCCCATGGTTAATGTCAGTTAAGGTGACAGAAAGTTTCTTCAAATCTGGCAGGTTGTCATAATATTGTGCCTTTTCTTGTGCAGGATTCGCAGTGCTCTGCTGAGTTTGCCACCTCTCCCTCTCTGGACGTGTTTCTGCCAGAGGACGAGGAAAATCCTTATGAGTCTGTGACAACTGCAGTCACGCAGAAACCTTCCTCACTGGACATCAATCACAGAGTGAACAACGGCCCACGCAATGGTACGGCTCCACAGGTTCAAACGCAAATCTGAAGTTCTCAGTATTGATACAAGATGGATATAGCTTCAAACTTTGTACGTGTTTGTGTACTGTAGTTATCTACACTTCTGCCCACATTTATGACAATAGACAATACATATTATGGTTTTTTTCTTACAAATTCTCATTCCAATGTCAGTGATTCATATAGAAAAAGTATAATACACTAGGGATAGTTTGCATAATAGTTGCATAGTGAAAATTGCCTATAATTGCTGCGTCAGTAGTAGTGTAAAAATAACAGACTGCATGCTCTGTAATATAGTTTGAGAAATTTGAGAAATTTCCAAAAGCAATTTATTGTCGGCCTCCACAGGGATTCAGGGTCTTTGGCTTATACACATGACCAAGGTAACATGAATTGAAAAGTATATGGCTAATTATTCGCACTCAATACCGAACGGCTTCTTCATTGATACACACAAAGTCAAAGGGAGGGTTGCGCAGTACCTTTGTTGCGACCCATAGGAATCATGCCTGTAACCCGCCAGAGAAATTTTGCATTAGTTTGTGTTCACACACCTCACTCACTTCCTGCTGTAGACATGAGACACCCACACTGACAACAACCCCCCACAAGCCCCCATAGTTCTGTTCCCATAGTAATGCCGCAACACACTGCTGCAGGTTGCCAAGGTAACTGCCTCCCCAGCTGGTGAGTCACCTGTATGTTACCATGGGAACTGGAACCAAGATGTAGTGACACCTCGAGATCCAGAGCTCTTGACGAGACCTGCAATATTTTGACTTAGAGACGGTGCCTCTGTGCTCAACACACAGTGAATGTGGCAATCTGAAGGTTAACATTTAATCACACAATTTCTCTTTAGGTTGAAAATTGCTCTGCTGACGCAGTTGTGTAGGAGTAGTATTTGTTCTCAGCCTCAGAATGCTCTTACCTGGATAAATGACATAGAGAAAACATTATCCAAGCATATTGTAGCAGACATTCTGCCTTTGTTTAGATAAGGTCATGTATAAGTTACATAAGCAAACATTGAACACAGTTATTGTCGAAAGCTGTTGCTGTTTTACAAATTTTTATGAAAATCTTTTTAAATGTCTTAAATATAGGATTGTCAATGGACGTAAGCATTGTATTGTCATTTGTGTATGTATATTGGAGCAATTACTGAGTTTTATTTTAATTTTGTAAACGGTATGATTTGATCGGACGGCTGAGTTGATCATACCGTTAAAAGTAGGGCTGTCAAAATTATCGCGTTAACTCACGTTAATTACATTTTTCATTAACGCGTAAAAAAAAATTAACGCATGTCCGAATGACCCGCCCAGTTATCCATATTATCACTTAGAATGCCGCGTACACATGCCTGTGTGAGATGGCAACAGAGCAGGTATCTGGGAATTCAAGTTTTAAAAGAATACGCGCGTGACCGCGGGGCTACAGTCTATGGTATGAACTGAAGTCCGCCTTCCCAGGCACACCCCGGGGGCAGCTGCGCCCGCTCACGGTGATCGGCGCTGCGGTAATGTGGTCATAAGACCATACACGCCACAGGACTATTCTCTGCATGTTGTGTTTGTGTCTTTGCAACCTGTGCGTAACCTGTGCACGCAAATACCGTGCCTCCTCCTGAAAACTAAACTAAACTCGCAAAAATTAAAGCTGGGGTACGCACATTTTCCCCCATCATTAACAGCTAATTTTGGTTGTGCCCAAAAGTAAAAGGTAAACAGATTTAAGTACATTTGATATGAATGACAATGTGTCATTACATTTGATAATCTCATTTAACTTCAATTGGAGTGGATTTGAAATAGAATGTTAAGAATGCAATAAATCGTGAGTTAACTCACCATTACTATGCAATTAATCATCGTTTGACAGCCCTAATTAAAAGTATTGGACCTCCTGGGTTAATTGTAATGGAGTTAGAGAACTAACTTAATGAAAGCCACAGAGTTCTTCTCAGACTCTATTTTCTTTTGTAACACTGCACTGATATGGACATGTAATGTTCCATTACATTTGCATGCATTTGCATCTGTTGTGCTGTTTGCCTTGTGGACTTGTGAAGTCTGACTCAGCCAACATTAGCTGCTAATGGCACTTTGTTCAAGTGGACACATCTCTTTCATCTGTTACCTTAAGGTCACAATAATTCTAAATGACGTGAGCACAGATTCTGCAGAGAGCAAATGAAGTTAGCGGTTCGTTTGAGGCTAAGCGAGAAGAGCCAGTCTGCTGCACAGCAGGGGCCCGGAATAGGGCCCTGCTTTGAGCTGTACGTCAGGCTAATTTGTTGTGGATCTGATTTAAAGTGTTTATAGGCAGAGGGCAAAAAATAGGGATATCTTTGGTCCCTGATCTATTATAGTTTTTTTTTTTTTTTTTTTTGACAGGATTGGCAAATTATTATTGCATCTGGATTTTGGAAGAGAATATGGAAATATATATACCTGTACTTCCCAGTCAGGGATACATGGGCTGCTATGCGTTCGAAAGTGTATTTCAGCGGGTACTTGATATAGTTAAATATTATTTATTAACTTGAAAACATCAGTAGTAAGATGTTCATGTGAGCTATCATGACATGCTTTCTAGAACACTGAAAATACAACATTTGTAAAGATCACTATTCACCACTATTATGATATGTGGACAAAAGTTTTTTTCCGAAATAAAAACATGTGTTGCCAATAATAAATTATGAAGATAAAATGTAATATTTTGTATTTCTAAGGATGCCCTAGCTTCTTATTTGTATTCTCTCTGGAAGTCCAACTTTTACAGCCCTTGCTTTAGTTTTCTTCCTGCAGTTCAGAGTGGATAATGACAGCCAGCAGTGTCCGCGGGGCATCATCATTAACGGGGTCGAGGCCCATTGACTTGTTGAAAGTGTAGCAATAAATGCTACACTTTTTAACTATCAGTAGAAATTATTGCTGTTGTGCACTTCGTCCTCACACTTATTCCTTCACACTTATGTTATAATTCATTAAGTCAAGCTCCAAACCGCGGAAACATCTGTTTATTTTATTTCATGAAAGCAAAAAGAATGTCATCCATATACATGTATAGAAAATGATATTATCTCATAAATGTTCACTGTACATTGCCTTATCACATTCCTACAATAATCAATGGCTCTATAGAAATACTGAGAGTGAAGTATGCAGCACAAATTGAGAGTTATGTCTTGCACGGCAGCGGATTTAAACGGTTCTTCTTCCTGCACAGCTCAGAGGAACCAGAGTCATACTTTTCATGCTCCTTCCACTTAAAGCTGGTCTTGTGAGTGTGGTCTTTACAGCCTTTCTTCTATAGCATTTGCATGGTTATGTTTGCAGAAAATAGTCAACATTTTATCAACAAACCTTGTCCCCTACATTTAAATCTGAGTTGCTTGGGTTCTTAACATAATGAAAGTACCTGGATCTGAAGTTTACATGATATGATTGTCATTTACATAAATTCATACACAATAGCTTCCCCTACAGTACACCGAGGTATATTTTTCGTACGTGGATTTTAAGACTGTGCCAAGGAAAGCACCGGGGCCCTAGTCACAAATAGGTCTCACATCCATCATCAAAGCCACAATGTTGACGGTGCTAAACCCCAATATCTAAGAATACACGTTATATTTGCTTGCCTTATATATTCTTCTGACTAAACCCAGTGACTAATGTACTGTATCTTTGAGGATTATTTACTGTCAGGTTCATGTGTGCTGGAATCTTGCATGTGAACTATGTAGGATCTATGAGTGCAAGTGTAAGTGTTTTGGAGGCTTTCGGGTTGTACAGAACTACATAAGTAATAGAGTAACTTTGAGCTTTAAAGACCGTTACTGTTACCATCAACACGTTTTGTGGAGGATTCTGTCTACACCGGTTACTGTGACACCCCTAATACAGAACTGTGAGGGTAATAGTGCATTTTTTTATGGATTTAAATTGGACAATGCGGTGTCAACATCACTGACAAGCGGTATTTTGAGAAAGGTGTTGCCCCGTATTGTGTCTGCTCCGCTTTTTTTAGACAGATGTGTTCTCCCCCTAAAATGTAATTTGGGTTGCCTCAGCACTTCCTACACTTTGTCCTCTCTGCTTCTTGTTTCTCTTTGTTAAATGATCTTACACTTGGGAAATTAGCCCACCACTCCAGCGTTTACAGAAAAGGCGATCAAGGTTGTGGTGTCACTTTCTATGACGTGCAGAAGTGTATTCAAGAGGTGAGCTCTGGTGTGAGGGAGTTTCAGTGCTGGACTTTCTGAGCTAGTGAGCCCCTCAGTGACCATCACAGCCTCTGCCCAAAGTGACAAAACTTCTGTGTCACAGAGTCCAAGGCGCAGTGTAATGACCACATCGATGTCTCTGCTCAGAGTGCATCCCATAATTGATATTCATTTACTTAAAACACTACATTTGCTTAAAGAATAATTGTCATCTTTGTGACAGGTGTGATTCTCTCACTTTTGCCCTCTCACTCCTGCACTCTCACTCGCTCTTTCTATCGCTCTCTCTTACGCTCTCTCTCTTGGGCTCTCTCTCTCTCTCGTGCTCGCTCTCTCGTGCTCTCTCTTTTGCGTTCTCTCTCGCGCAGGCTATCTCACGCTCTCTTGTGCTCTCTCTCCTGCGCTCTCTCTCTTGCGCTCTCTCTTGTGCTCTCTCTCCTGCGCTCTCTCTCTCTCGTTCTCTTTTGCGCTATCTCTTGCGCTATCTCTATTTTGCGCTCTCTCTCTCTCGTGCTCTCTTGCGCTCTCTTTTGCGCTCTCTCTCGTTCTCTTTTGCGCTCTCACTTGCGCTCTCTCTCTTTTGCGCTCTCTTTCTTGTGCTCTCTCTCTTGCGCTCTCTTTTTTGCTCTCTCGCGCTTTCTCTCTCACACTCTCTCTTGCGCTCTCTCTTGCGCTCTCTCTCGGTGTATATCTACAGGAGCCTGAGACTTAATTGAGAAGGCTCTGGCCCATTATCTGACAACATTTCAATCCAAGGGCAGTTGTATAATATAATGATGAAAATGAATTACCATAAATGAGTGTATGTCACTTACATGCCTTTATTGTTTTCTGCTCCTCAAGGTCACCTGTCCCATCTTACCGTGAGCGAGGAGGGGCACAGTAACTATGGAAACTGCTCTACGGGCCCCACTCCTGACTGCTCGCCCCCCTCTCCGGACACGGCCTTGAAGAACATCGAGAGAGTGATCCGCCCACAGGTACAAGCACTTATTTCTGACCCCTTTAAACGCCTTATCATAGTTTTCATTCTAAAGTGAATGATCTTGGGTTCTGTGTGATTTCCATTTGTGTTTTCTCTGCGGTGCTTTGGTCAAACGCTCTGAAGTGACCTGTAGTTGGTTGTCTTACATTGAGTGTAAGCCTTACATTGAAACAATGTCATGATACTTTTACTTATAGTTCTCAAAAAATGAATAAGCCAACATAAATGTTAATTTTAGTCAGGAATAACAAATCCACACACTAATGACCCCACACTATTTTAGTCGTTCTTTCTGTCACTTGAAAATAGTGTCTGAAGTACGAGCACAGTGCAGCATTTCACACCCGGATAATTAAGGACTCTTGTTTGTGAGATGTGAGAATAGTGCGACTGTGTTGACAAATAAAACTATCACAGAATCAAGTCATACTCAAATAAAATATTACTGATTTTCCATGTAACATAACGTGTTGTTTGCTCATGTAACTTATACGTGACCTTATCTAAAGGTGCTGCAATATGCTTGGATAATGTTTTCTCCATGTTATTTATCCGTGTTGTTAAGTATTTGGTCTGCTGTCAGATCAAATAAACTTATTTTGGCTCTTATGTGCCTCTATCAACGTTGTGTCGGGGAAAACTGTACCCAATAATAGCACATGTGGTAAATCTTAGTTTTATTTACCCAATCAATTCTTTGGACTGAACTTAATTTTAATTTCTTATTGGTTCTTCTAACTCTAAAGCACTTCGAGTGGTCTTGTGTTTGAACTGTGCTATACATATTAGCTTGCTTTGCCTAGACTATTTTTAACCCTACCCTTAATCCTGACAACTACTTAAGGAAACAGATGAAAAACTAGCTTTTTTGCGTTGCAAAAAAATATTGCACAGTTATTGCAGTCCAAATAGCACTTTAACTATATAAGAAAAGCACAGGAAAAGATGTTTGTGCTTCCACCTTTTAAGCCACAATTCTCTTAGCAGCCATAAGCCCCGCCAAGAGAACCCTTTGTTTTGCCCTTTTAAAGTGGTTCTCACCCCCGCTCCTCGGAGCTTACGTCACTCACATTTCCTGTTCAAATCTTCCTCTAAATGGGCGTAGCCTGGAGGACTGAAGGGGGCGTGAACGAGACTGGGCCGTTTACATTGCTCTGGGCGGGGGGCTGCTGACGTCAGGTCCAACTTGCAGACGTCAGGTCCAACTTCTGTGCCAGTGTTGGCGCCAGATTCAAAATTCAATTGTAGTAATACCGGTCGCCAGCAGATGGCGCCTCACAGACGGTTTTAGGCAGAAAGTCTAACTTTCAACTAATTTGCACCAAAGTGACAAGATTATGACCAGGATATGTAGACAACACTATTGGACACTCATTTATACCGTTTATCAGCAAAAAAAAGTGGATTTGAGGGTGAGTTGTCCTTTAAGTCCGAGCCCAGAGAAGTTGTTCAACCCTGTATATTTTTTCTCCCTTCCCGAGTACTTTTATTAGAAACCTTTCCAGATTGATCATGAACCATATCCATCTCTGTTTAATACCTTTTGGGCCCATTCATAGAGGATGCACTTCTTAGCGCATTATGCTACCCACATAGAATTGCACTACACGCACTAATACATGCATTTCTTTCATCAGTGTCGAATATATCCAGGTCTCATGTGTGAACCATTTGGAGCACATGCAGCTGCAGCCGATAGCGGTGTGAACACGAGCAGTTCAGATAAGGTGCTCTGGTATTGTGGTTCACAGAGGCATGAAGGGAATGGATGTTTTTACCAAGCAGAGGCTGAGCTGAGACAAACATCAGGCCATTGTTAGGATTCCATCGGCCTGAACTCTCAATGCTGCACGATAGCTGCACATACAGTAGCTCTAGTTGTATACAGTGGCCCATTGTTGTTGTGCCCATTCTAATATAGACTACTGGATGAAGACATAACAATTACTGTTTGTCTGGTCTGCTTCGTTTTGATTTTCACAGATTTTGATGTAAACTATAATTTCATGATCGTTATGTTATAAGTCTCTTTCCACACTTAAAATGGTGCAATAGATTGTGTTTTGTGTCGCATTTAGAAAAAAACTAATCGCATGAGTTACTTTTACAGTCCTAATTCATTAGTTATGTATTTCTTTTGTACAAAAAACATTGATTCAATCTGCATATGCTTTACACATGCGTCACCAATAATCAGGGAATACCCTTGAAATAGGGCTGCACGATATATCGAAAAAATATTGTTATCGCAATATTGGTGCGTGCGATATCTATATCGAAAATATGCGTGATTTAAAAAAAAAATGTTTTGTTAAATTAAAGACAAAAAAACAGACAGACACATCAACATTCAACAAATACAACAAACAAACAAAAAAGTATATTAATAAATGCATTAATGTTGTGCTTATTTTTTGTTATTTGTCTCTTGCGTTTCAGTGCAGATTGCAATTTTAGGTGACAGACAACAATATTATTGCAATATTTTTATCGCAATACTAAACACTCATTTCCAATATTGTGCAGCCCTACTTTGAAACATACTAGAAAAGCAAAACAAAATTGGAAGAGTGGAGCTTAAGTTGCAAATACTTATAATACGTATAATCTTAGGAGAAATTGGTGCCTATGCTTTTGTCTCTGCACAAACATTCAGAATTGGACTTGCACTGCGTAATCAGCGAGTCTGGGCTTCTCACAAACATTTGACAATGTTTTCCCTGCAGCAAATGAGCTTATTGTGCGTGAATGGTGAATGTCAGTCATGTGCCAGCTGTTTACAGAGCCCCAAAGACCAAACAACCAATACTCCATTTGTGGCATGACAGCTGCTTGACTTGGAACAACATCAACTGGAATACAAAAATATCACAAAATGGATTTAATATAATGGATGTTCACGCTCTTTATTGATGTGGGTTTCTCTTATTGGAATCTGAAATATTTCGAGATTACCCTTGTTTCAAATGTGTCTGCTCAGAGCAAAAATAGTTAGTCAAGTTAAAACAAAAAATTTGACATTAATATATGGATGCTTTCTATTTTTAACAGACAGAAACTCTTTCAACCAGTGCTTAATTTTAAAAACCACTCATTATATTCTTACACCTACATTTACTCACACATGCAAACACACAAGCACATGCGCACATTACACACATACATTTATACACACACACACACACACACACACACACACACACACACACACACACACAAAAGCACTATGGACACAACAACAGGTTTCTGAAGCTGGAAACAAACTTGTGACCACTTTAATGTTATGTAATGTTTATGTCAGGAGTGGGATGTGAACCTATTGTCACTTTATTAGATCCGTTTCTATGGAGATCTTTCGCTTCGCATGTTCAGCCTGTAATTGGAGATAATGGTAAAACTCAGGGGATTCACAGGTTTGCCTAATGACTGTTTCATTTATTATCTGTCACACACATTATTAAATTGTTAAATGCCACTGAGTCCCCAAGGATGCAGTTGGCCAGGATTCAGTGCCGTGGACCTTCTTGATTCTCTTTGCGTGCGCATAGGAGACTGCGTTCATTAATCCCTTCCAATGGGCCGTGACACGTTCATTAGCTTCCTGTCCATTTACATTGTTGACGCTAAGCCTCAGAGCTGTGTATGTGTGGCATCACTTAATACAGTGAGATGCAAACTAAACTGAGTGCTCAAATGAGTTCTGGAATTAAAATACTGTATATAGTTACAAAGATAAAAAAGGACTTTAGTTATACACTCATTGGCCCAGCACTGATACTGAGGATTCAATGCTGCTTTGACTAGTTTTGTCCCTGGATCACACATGGGAAAGGATTAAGACTTAAATATTTTTTGGGATCATATTTAGAGTTTAACCAAAAGATTTGCCAAGATTATTACATTTTTCCACCTGATTAAAACACAATCAGTAATATGGATTTAAAGAATCTACATATATATCATATTCAATAAACAAATACTGCCTTTTAAAACTTTCTGTCCTGAATTTATAGGGAAAACTTCAGTATAAAGTAGAGATTTAATATTGGGGGCCTGGAGGTATTTTTTAATTGGTAAGGAGAGGTCCCTGATTTAAGTATTTAACATTGAAGAGTAGTTCGTTTTTTTGGTTTCTCAGTCAGAAGGTCAGAACAGGGCCTTTCTGAGTTAACATGTTCTCCCTGTGTCTGCATTGGTTTCCTCTGGGTGCTCCTGTTTCCCCTACCAGTAAAAACATGCACAATAGGTATGACATGTAACAAGTGAGTGACGTGTGCTTTCTGCGTCTCGTTTCCGTCATCACCGTGTGTGGAGTGAATGAAACAATATCTGAACTCTGAACATTGTGAAGCGCTTTGGCTAACCTTGGTCTGTAAAAATGCGGCCCTGTGCTATTCCGCCTTTGGCCAAAGGCGGAATAGCACAGGGAGAGGGGACAGTTTTATTGATGTTTGATATGGATAAACGCAACTATGGAGAAGGAGCGAATCAGCAGCAGGACAGCCACTAGCGCTAAGCCTCTGTTCAGTGAAGCTGTTGGAGAACCTGACCCCAGCCCTGTCCTGTGTGTTGCTGCTTTGTTTGATTTTGTTCTCCATAAAATTGCGATGTTATTCATATTCATGTGCAACACCTTTGAATGCTCCACTGAACGCCTGTGTTACGAGCTACTTAATGTGTTAGAGTCTCGCTACTGTTGTCACCATTGCTCTAACATTGCAAAGTGCTTGGTGTGACCTTGGTCCGTGACATGTGCTCCGTGAATAACAATCATTGAAGTACTTTTACTTACCTTCAGAAAGTTACATTCCGTGCCTTTAATCACAAGTCTCAAGAAGCACTCCAGTTTATCCTCTGACAACTTGACATTTGCATTGATTTTGTTAAAATGTCTTTCGACGCTAACCCTCCGCGCAGATGCCTCGTACTGCCTTTGTATTGATCACACAGTCTGAGTTTATAGTGGTGTTTGTGAAGCGAAACGGCCACTTGTTGAAAGTTATGCAAGGCCTGCTGCCAGATGTCTTTAGAGAGAGGGATTTGTTTGATATCAACCCCTTAATTAAAAAAACCTGTTCTTTTCCTTTTTAATTTTTTTATTTGTTTATTATTGTTCATTTTTTGTATACAGCCTGTGGGGGGAAGTGAGTTTTAGAATTGTACCTATTATTATTAATCATAATAGGTACAGTTACAAAAAAGGTTTTCTATCGGCATTAACAACAAACAAAATATGAAACAATCCAAATATCGGTTCTCCAAAAACATTGCAAAGCGTTTTGTGTCATCTTGGTCTGTTAAATGCACCATATAAATAAAGATTGGTTATTTACTCTCACGTTGCTCAAAGTACTGCAAAGTTTCTTTTCTTGTTTCTATTAGATAATGTATTTTATCTAGACATTTGTGATGTATAGCCAGAGTGTTGGCTACCTGTGAATAATTGCTGTTATAAAGAGTTGAATATGCTCCAGGGACACAGTGATTTGCATCAATTATTATTTTCACTCAGATAATTGGTGTCTTCTTGATGATTTGTGATACCAATATAAGCCTATTTAGTATGAATTTGGTGTCACAAACGACCACAACAGATCGATCCTTTTATATCCACAAGGAGCTGAAATATGAACATCCTATTTCGGTTTCTTTTTTCCAGCCTAAACAGCGCACGTCTCTGTCCTCCTCCTTGGATGTTCAGAGGCCGGTGAACCACAGCTGTGAACCCAGTGAGGTGAGCTCTTCTCTGGGCTACGCAAGCTTCAGCACCAGCCCCCCCGGCAGCCCACCCCTCAGCCCAAACCAGGAAGACTCAGCTGGCTCCGATGACTGTCACTACATAGGTATGTTCACCACAACCCTGTCCACTTAAAGCTGGTGTACCTTACTTTCAAACCACAAAACATGATCTAATGCAGGGGTCACCAACCTTGCCTGGTCACAAACCAAGAGCTACTTCTTGGGTACTGATTAATGCGAAGGGCTACCAGTTTGTTACACGCGGAGCTTCTCTCACACACGGACCAATCACAGCGGAGCTTCTCTCACACACGGACCAATCACAGCGGAGCTTGTCTGCGGCGGCGGCCGCCTAGTAAATGTTTGAGGTTGCCAAACATTTACGTATTGCGCAAGTGACGTCACATCACCACCTCAAGCTCCGTGCCGCGTGACTATACACTAGGCTTGAGTGCTTCTATTTGAGCTATTTTTAGAACACGTCAGCGGGCTACTCATCTGGTCCTTACGGGCGACCTGGTGCCCGCGGACACCGCGTTGGTGACCCCTGATCTAATGAAACCCTTCAAACTAGTTCCTAGAATGCTCTTAAGATCCATCTTTGGCCTGTTTCTGTAGACATTGTTGACGTCATGGAGGCATAACCCCCGACCTACTCGAGCACCAACCCTACTCAGCTCTTCTCTCCCTGGTTGAGTTTCCTTTACGCTTTAGTATCTGTTATCCTCGCCACCAAACCACAACAAACCAGTATCCGTGGACATTTCTTGGTAACCATGGCTTCCAGAAGCCCTCTGACCAATCACTGAATGAAGACTTCAGTACCAGCTCGGCCTGGATAGAACCTGGGCCATGAGGGACTAAGAAGGACCATACCAGTTAAACAATTCGGGTGGAAAGCTCACAATCGCGTTAGTGTAGAGTTAAGTCGGGCTGGTGGAAACGATGCTATATTGAGACTGTGCCTGCTTGTGATTCAATATTTTACTTTCAATCCTAGTTTACTCTTTGAGTCTGTTATGAATCCCTATTTAACTGTGGGTGCAACCACAATACAGTGTGCTATTCCTAGACCTGTCTTAATATTTATTATATTGTCTTATCATACTATTACTTATGGACAGCTATCGAATATGTTTCATAGCTGGTTTGTAATGCAGACATTCTCTGAGTACTATAGACTTAGTGCTTTAGAGAGCATAAAGCCGCATGTGCCGTGGTTCAAAGGCACAGAGAGACTTTGATTTGTGGAGAACACACATTACCAGTCCGCAGGTGCACTCTCACAGATCACACACGGAAAACTGAAAGAAACCAGTGCTTGATTTCAACTGATGTCAGTCAATTGTATTTATGTAACTGCCACAGCCTATTTCCATTTCAAATCTTTTTAATGAGACTTCTGAACGCAGTCTGGGCAATTGCAGAAAGGCAGAGATTTGTAGATTCTTCATAAATTCATGAAACTGACTGTTTGAATACATGTAATGCCATTACGTATTCAGAATACTCTGAGTAACTTTGTTCCATTACAGTTACGAAGTCAAAGTCTAGTATTTAGAATACAGTTACTTTTTGAAAATGACGGGAATACTTTCTCACATTCCGTCTTAAAGGAGCTATACCCGTTTCTGCAAGGTTTTTTTCAGTTTGAATGTTTAGCACCGCCCCCCAACTCGCTCACAAGCTTCTCATTTCCCCTACGCTCTCATTCCACGAAGCCATCCGGTTTTATTTGCAATCTAAACTCTCAGACAATATAAATAATGGCCATTCTATCTAACTGCTACAGACTTTGATTTCAACATTTGTGAGTTTTTTTTTTATGAATACATACGTTTTTCTTTATTTGCTTTTACAGTAAATGGTCTTTACTGTAACATACATAAATGATGTATGTTACAGCATATGTCTTTTTTATATTTTTTTTATTACTAATAAGAATGCATTACGTCCTTAACCAGCCAAAGAGTTCCACCTATTTATTAAATTTCAAATTTGACTAAGGATTTGTTATTTTTATATGTAGTCAATAAATGACAGTCTAAAAACTGCAATTATGAAATTCCATGATTACTTTGTAGATTGAAATTAGGACTAAAAAGTGCTCAACGCGATCCACCCAAATGGTGTCCCTTATTTTTCTGTTCTCAAGTTGGCAACCCTAGCTAGAGGAGGCATCCTGTTCATAACAGCACCGCTCCTTGTTCTGTGAGTGGTGGAGAGCGAGCGACACGCAAAGTTTCTACTCAGCACTTTTTACGGCCTGAATTCATACACAAGTTGAACAAATGAGCTCAAGTTTTCAATTCAATTACAGATTTTAATACAACTTGTATGTAGTAATTCCCATTTTGATGAACTCATTAGAAAATAAATTGGCTATAGCTTTTTTAAGTTAAAAAAAAGAAAAAAGAAAACATTGGGTATTTTTAAAGAGAAGATTCTTCGATTTCTGGTTGTTAAATGGCAGCTGTTGAAGACTTGTTTTACAAAACGGGGATCAATATGTTTTGGTCAATAATGTTAATTCAGATAAAAACCTAACCACACACGGAGTCCAACAGGGCTCAGTCCTTGGGCCAAAAAAGTCATAATATTGTAAAGATGTTGGTGGAATAAGAGTGGGTTTTAAAATCCAGCGTAACACAGAGAAGTTTTGAAACGGATACAAATGAAAAAGAAAGGAATTAGTAGATGGAAAATGATGAATATAAAAGGGCTTTCCTTCCTGCAGTGTGAGGAGAAAACGTTTTGTGTGTGTCGTTGGTGTGTATAATCTGGTAAATAAATTAAATAATTATATACATCTGTAACCTGCAGTGTTGGTCGCAGGTGTCGGGCTCTTGCGTAGGCACTCGGATAAAAGAAGTCTATTTATATCCATGTGTTGCAGTGCTGATGTTTATGCTCTATAAGAAGCTCTTACATAATGTTGGACACCGCTCTAAAGGATCCTCCCGTGTGCCCTCCGCTCAGCTCTGTTTGTCCTCCATGAATTATGCAGCGACACACAGCAAACACGCCATGTGCAGGTATACGGCTTTCTCCTTATGGACACAGAGCAGTGAATTAAACCGCATAAGCACGTCTTAGGTATTTGTGCTTATAAATAAACTATTTTAAAACAGCTCCCACACCCTACACTCATTCATTCCAAATAAATTGTTTTTTGTTATACCTTTTATTTCATTTATTTTTTCAAAACACAGAACATAAACTTGAAAAAGCACACATATGCACATATGCACACACAGAGGTCCAGGACAGCAAATAATTGCAAATATAACTCATGGATATACAGTAATCAGCATGACTCAAGTGTACATTTACAAAACTTAAATCTAGATGACCTAACTTTTGTTTTTCACGGTCGGCCCAAACACAACGTCTTTCAAAAGTAATGTTTTTTTTTTTTCATACTTGTGAGTCACTTTGACACATTGGGCTGAGAGTGAGGGTTGTCCTCTCTTTGTCGCATCATTGGATCAGCTTTTTCAGACAGAAATGTGAAAGAGGCCAAAAATACATGCATGTGAAAACAAGTGACTGAACCGAACTGTTTTGAGAGCGAGGAACTATAGTTATATGTATTGTATTAAAAGGGGATTGGAAGTTATCTCTCTCTTGCTTCATCCAACCCATTAAAACATCTTGATTGAATTTGTAGACAGCTCCAAATAGGCAATGTAGTAATTTAGATAAGTCAGATCAAGAGATCCTTTATTTGTATCACAATGGGGAAATTTCAGTGTTGCATCACCAGTTGCAGAACAGTAAGAATGAGTAGCACACAGCACAAGACAAATTAACAATAACTCTATACTAAATCTCTAGCATGAAGAAGAAAACAAGTACAAAATATCTCCTCAGCATAACGAGTGCAAAAACGTTTACGACATTAGCATAATAAAATCTCTACATTTGGTATAATAAGAAGCGAGTATAAAGTGCTTGCTGAAGAAGGATCGGGGCTCTACGTGAAAGTTCTTAATTGCAAGTAAAATAAAAGAAGTTAAACAACATTTGATGCAAAGATTTCCAAATGAATGAAGGCCCCTATCATCAAACATGGCTCAAAGGGAACATATGCCTTTTTGTGGAGTTCTATTTTTTTTTTTTCCAACAATATGTTTATTTCTCTTTTTAGGTTTTAAATGACATTCAACAGAACATCCTCTCAGACACAAAATACCATGTTACCATACATTATATTGATAATGCCCCTTGACACAAGATATCAGAGATCAATCATCTCTTATTGAGCAGGTCATTGAATGTATAATTATTCATAACCATGTTCCTCTTCATGATCTTCTGTTAAGTCTGTGCCTTCTGCAAAAAGCATGAACGGTCTCCAAATACTTTCGATCAAGTCCTTTTTTCCTTTTAACAAGTATGTAATGCGTTCCAATGGAAGAGTAGCCAACATCTGTTTAACCCACTGTCCAATACTCGGTCTTCTTATGCTTTTCCAATGCAGTGCAATCAACATTTTAGCTTGTAATAAACAAATATCAATAAACAGCTTCTCATTTTTTTAATATGCTGTGTGCTTGGGATATAAACCTAAAATTATAAAGGAAGGTTCCAAAGGAAGGTCTTTAGAAATAATATCCTTCACCGTTTCCTTTATTTTACCCCAAAATGTGTTAATTTCTCTACATTCCCAAATACAATTAAACAGTGTTCCCTTCTCGTCTCCACACTTTGTACATATGTCCGGAATATTTGGATTGTATTGGTTTAATCTAACAGGAGTGACATAAACACGCATAAGCCACTTGTACTGTAACAATCTCAACCGAGAATTTATAGTTTGCTTATGCGCTTTACGGCAAGCCAATTGCCACTCATCTAGTGACAAATCTATTTGCAGATCTTTCTTCCAAGCTTCCAATTTTAAGGTTGAATTATCTGGGGAGTGTGATAGCAGTAGTTTATAAAATTGTGAGATTGCTCCCCTTTTAAGGCTATTTTCACTTATCATTTCTTCTAACCTAAATTTGGGTGGTTTCAATAGGTTGCTTTGTTTTGTTCCTATATAACTTCTAAGTTGGAGATACTTGAAAAAATATTTTCTTTGGATGTTGTATTTGTGTCT